ATATCATTATAATAAAATCTCATTTAATAGAATTTTATTAAAAAATTAAAATATACTAATTTAAAAAAGTAAAATTATTTTAATTTTTTATAATAAAATCTTACAATGATGTAACATAATTTTTATTGACTTTTTTAATTCAAACAAGATATCTAATATTTATATATTTACTCACTTTTATGCCATACAAATAAGATCATTTTCATTGTCAAAAAGTCAAAACCGATTTATTGGCATCATTGATCAGGCAAGGTGGATCAAACGGCTTGTTGCCGCAACCACTCCAAAGTCCTAACGTGGCAATTTTTTTGTTTTTGACCTTTGATTTTTTTCAAAATATTACGTACAGATACTGTAGACGACCGTGTGCACTCTGTTTCTTCCTCCTTTCCTCACAATTCTCATGTTACTTCGTTCGAAAATTCACAGCAACTTCCCCAACATCATGGATAACTGTTCAAGCCTGCACATCCAACTATCTATATATACATAAACTGGGGCATGTATTTGCATTAAACTTCACCACACCATATATTTGCATAAACAATGAGATCAGGTGGGCTATATGAACGTGTTCTCCATTACTTTGATGAAGATGGGGACGGAAAGATTTCACCGAGGGAGCTAAGCCGTCGACTTGGGTTGATGGGCGGTGAGATGCTGTTGAAGGAAGCACAAATAGGGGTGGAGTCGTTGGACTTGGATGGTGATGGTCTTTTGGGTTTAGAGGATGTGATTGGGTTGATGGAAAGTGGAGAAAAAGAAGAAAAGTTGAAGGAGTTAAGGGAGGCATTTGGTATGTACGATGAGGATGGATGCGGATATATTACGGCCAAAGGGCTCAAGAGAATGCTAAGCAAACTTGGGGAGTCGAGGTCGATCGATGAATGTATGGTGATGATTGATAGGTTTGATCTGAATGGGGACGGTGTTATTTGCTTCGAGGAATTCAGAGTTATGATGGAATGAATGATTTTTTTATTTTTTATTTTTAATTTGTCCACATACTTTAATGGATTGCAATATGGAATAATACACTTCATAATTAATCAACTCCAATTCCCTTTTTCTTTCCACTTCCAATTCTAATCCATGACATTTGGCCTGAACACTGAGGAAGAAACAATGTATACCCATGTTACAGACAAACATGACAGAACGCGTGTTTAGGCGCTCTAGGGGTGGCCGAATGCCTGGCTCCTCCGCCTAGAGAGGCCAAGATGAGGCAACAGGACATTCGAGTGTTTAAATTTGAAGCCAAAAGGTTAACCATGAAACCTTTTACACCCAGAAAAAAGCTGAGCAGTCCGGAAGAAACTAAGTCTGGGTTCTTTAGATAGGGTTCTTAGCCAAAAATATTCGAGTGTCCAATTAAATTCCAGTCTTGTTTGGGTTGAAAAGCTCGTCACACCCCTTGTACTAATTGAATAAGATAATTCAAACCTCTAGACCAAGTAGTGATGCACAGTAAAGCAAAGTCACCATATAAGATTTCCAAGAAAAATACAACTAAAGTTCATGACTGACATCAGGCTTCTGAATAAGATCAACAAAAGTTTTCAATAGAAACCAAGAATTCTCCTGAAACAGTAAGCAACTAGAGAATGCAAATAAAGTGTTCTCACGGTAACAGAGAAAGGAAAAGACTCAATATTATGAATTGATGAATCACTCAGATGTTTAGGAGGAAGCACCACTGCACCAAGGTTGATCTAAGACTTCCTAGGAGCCAACTGAGTCTCAGGCTGCAAAACAAGAGACCATGTCAGATACCATATTTTTACTGCATGTAGAAGGATGACAAGCAGATCTATCTAATGGATAAACATCAAGATTTGGGTGAAAATATAATCATTACAACCATTTATCCAACTCGGTTTATCTCCTGTAAATAAATTACCTCTTTTTTGACAGGTTCCTCTTTCTCTGACAAAATCAGTTCAATATGGCACGGGGAAGACATGTAAGCTGTCAAAAGAAATTAAAGGTCACAAATAAGTACATGTATTTGAAAAATTGAACACCACGTAAATCCCCAATCCCCATGAAAGAAAGAACTAAAAAAGACTTTATGCTGGAAATAAAACACTAACGATTAATTCTTCCATGCGCCCGATATGTTCGGCGCCTTTGCTTCTGAGCTTGATTCACTTGGATGTGAGAGATGTAAAGTGCATCCACATCCAAGCCCTTCACCTACAAATATGTAGAGAGAATATGCACAAGTTTAGTTGATATAGACATGGCCATTGCAATGAATGTCTATAAATTGCTAATACCTCTGCATTGCTCTCAGCATTCTTGAGTAAATCAAGAATGAATTTTGCAGATTTAGCAGGCCAGCGACCTTGTCCATTTGAATGGCGATTCTTAGCCTGTGCAGTTCGCCCAACTCCCCCACAGAAACGCTGGAATGGAATGGCTTGCTTGTGGGCAATAACATCCTCCAAGTACCTTTTGGCCTTTCCCAAAGGCAATTTCCGAATTGCATGGGCAGTTTCCCTTGTATTCTGGAAAATGGAATAACATCAAGTTTATAAGGGAAATAGCAGAGTCAAGCATTATTATAAACAAGAATAGAGAAAACCAACAAAAAATGTCATTCAGGCTTCAGCCAATGCATTATTAAAAAAAACCAAACGAGGCACCCCATTCTGGTCCTCATCTCATTATAATGTCAACCATGCTGAAACCTGGAGGTCATGGTTATCAACAAATGGCAGATATACCTAGGCCTCACAGAAAGCAGGAGAGTTTGTCAAAGTCCAAGTACAAAAACACTCATAAAACAAATGAGAAAAGTGAACCACGCAGAGTTCAATCACAGTGAATCAGAGCAAGCAGGTACATATAGGTTACATTTAAAGTTTACATCGTGCCTTCTTCTGTAAAATGAGAATCCTAATTCCTAAATTGTATTTCAAGAGAGTGAAACTTTTCAAAAACATGCTTCTACAGGAGGTCTATAGACTACCAGTTAAGAGAGGGTAATTAGCTCCTACACTTTTCATCGACCCCACAACTTCAGAAAGACTATAGCTAATTACTGATGGTATTAAACATTGAACATAAATATGATTACAGGGTTCATCTAGAAATGCGAATCCTGAAAAGCACATAAAACCCAAATTTTAAAAACCAGTAAACTGCCAGGTAAAGATCACCATACCTTAAAGTGAACACGGAGGTCAGAGCCCCTAGCTTTGCAGGCTGAAAAATGGTAAAGAAAAAAACACAAAATCACTATTCAAACTTTCAATATGGCCAAAATCAGAATTACACACACTATTCAATCTGGGTTTTCACAGATTTTCTGTGCATTTTCCTAGCAAAAAGAAAAAAGGATGGAACAAGATCCAATTACTACAAATGCTACGCATGCTTACACTTGGTGGGATTGTCTGGCTCCCTCGAGTACTTCACCTGACACAACCAAAAACAAAACGAAACCCCATGAAAAACCTAAAAGGAAACAAGTCGGAAGCAGCTGTTTTTTCATCCAAAATCAAAACCTTTTCTTCAAAAGAGCAAGAAGACCAACTAACCATGGTTTCGAGTTTTGCAGTTCCCTACCAGGATAACGATTGTAGGCAGGGTTTCGAAGTTAAAGAGGAGAAGCCAAGATGCGGGTTTTAGGGTTTTACGTGTTTCACATTGGGCTTGGGCTTTTATTTTTCAACAATCCAGCCCAGCTCTTCTTTCTTTGGGCTTTTCTAATAATTAGGCTTTCATTCATTTTTCAATTCGTAGAAAGCCCAAGGTTATTTTCATCATTTCAGAATACCGATCAAAGCGATAAAAAGGAGTTAGGGCTCTACTCGGAGGACAGAAGAGACACGGCTCATGTTTTTTAAAAAAGAAATATTTTTAAAAAATTAAAAGAAAAAAATTGAAAAAAGAGCGCCGGGTCACCGATCTGAGAAGAGCGGAGCAAGAAAGAAAGTGGAGGAAGCTAAGCTGCAGAGCTCAACCTGATATATGTACGTTGATTTCTTAGACTATTTAAATTTGCAATATCTTTTCTTGTTTAGGATTCAGGAGTAGGATATTGGTTCTGCAACTAAGCTTTTGTTGTGTTTTGTAAGAATTTGGAGGTGATTTCAGTTAAAGGTGGAAGAAAGAAAGAAAGAAAGCTTCTTTGTTCATACCCAATTTATAATTTTTGTGCATCTGGGTTTGAAATTTAGAAGGGTATTCGGGTTTTCTGGTGGAATAGTTCAGGTGGGGTTTTCGGAGATATTTTGGTAGAAGTTTAAGTGTTTCAGTTAAAGGTAGAAGAAAGAAAGCTTCTTTGTTGTAATTTTTGTGTATCTGGGTTTGAAATTTAGAACGGTATTTGGGTTTTCTGGTGGAATTGTTCAGGTGGGGAAGTTTTAAGTGTTATCTATGAATAACAACAATACAGCATCAAAGAATGCAGGGGTGACACCCCCATTTGTGCATTCTGGGACAGTGCCACAAACAACGCCCATGAACCACCAGACACAACCTCAAACACAAGGTGGGTCTCATTTTCCAGGGCATTTTCAATTGTCTGAGCCGCAAGTACAAGTGCTGGCACAGGCACAGTATGTGCAGGCTCATGCCCAGGCACAAGCTCAGGCTGCCCACTCCCAGTTTCAAGCTCAGGTACATTCACAAACTGCAAATACTGGCAATGTTGGTGTGCCTTCCCCCTTGGTTTCCACCCCAGGAACAGGAAGTGCGAAGCGGACTACTCAGAAGCCACCTTCTAAACCCTCTAGTTCATCCAATAACAATGTGGCTTCCTCGTTTAAAACAATGGAGCTAACTCCAGCTGCTAGAAGAAAGAAGCGGAAGCTTCCTGAGACACAAATACCAGAGAAGGTGGCAGCAGTTTTGCCCGAGTGTGCTCTTTATGCTCGGTTACTAGAATTGGAGGAAAGAGTAGATGCTACTTTGGCAAGAAAGAAGATTGACGTCCAACAGTCACTTAAAAATCCTCCGTGTGTTCAGCGGACACTTCGAATTTATGTTTTCAATACTTTCTCAAATCAGGGACAAACAGATACTGACAAGAATAATGCTGAGGCCCCTTCTTGGTCCCTTAAGATTGTTGGGAGGATTTTGGAAGGTGGCAAAGACCCTGTGCTGGCTGGAAAGGAGCAAAAGTCATACCCAAAATTCTCGTCTTTCTTCAAGAAGATTACAATATACCTGGATGCAAGCCTCTATCCAGATAATCATGTGATTTTATGGGAGAGTCCTAGGTCACCTGTGCTTCATGAGGGCTTCGAGGTGAAGAGGAAAGGAGACAAGGAGTCCACTGCAAGAATAAAGCTAGAAATGAATTATATTCCTGAGAGATACAAACTTTCATCTGATCTAGCAGAAGTCCTTGGAATTGAGGTGGATACCCGCCCAAGAGTCTTGGCTGCAGTTTGGCATTATGTGAAGTCTAGGAAGCTTCAGAACCATGAAGACAATTCCTTCTTCATATGTGATCCACCCCTCCAGAAGGTGTTTGGGGAAGAGAAGATGAAATTTTCTATGGTTTCACGGAAGATAACTCAGCATTTAACTCCTCTACAACCTATATATTTGGAACACAGGATCAAGCTTTCAGGAAACTGTCCAGCTGGATCAACTTGTTATGATGTACAGGTTGATGTACCTTTTCCATTAGAAAAGGAAAAGTCTGCTTTCTTGGCAAACATGGAGAAGGACACAGATATAGATGCTTGTGATGAGATAATTCGCACTGCAATAAAGAAAATACATGAGCATTGTCGACGGCGAGCTTTCTTCATTGGTTTCAGTCAGTCTCCAGGAGAGTTCATTAATGCTTTAATTGCTTCACAGAGCAAGGATCTAAAGCTCTTTGCTGGAGATGCTAGTCGGAATGCAGAAAAAGAGCATCATTCTGATTTCTATAATCACCTGTGGTAAGTGCTACTTTCTTCAATACCCAGTTTTTATGTTTATATGTACATGTTTAATATGAATCTGTCATTTAAAATGACTTTTTCCCTCTGAAACATCACGTCAATGGGTATAGTTTCTGTGTGTGTGTGTGTGTGTGTGTGAGCGAGAGAGAGAGAGGCTGAACAAATTAGCGATAAGATCAGATAAGATTCTGAGCACTGTTTTATAACAGCATTAATTATCTATTGAAATAATTTACACATGGATGTCTAAATGAATTAGTACTTGGAATTTCTTTGGACTGCCTAGTTTTTCCCATGGATGGTGCAATTCTTTCAGCCACTTTGTGATGTAATTTACAAAGTTGGAAAATAGTAGAATTTCTCAATGCTAGAATCAGAAAAACATAACCAATAGGACAACTTCAATCACAGATCCCAGGTTTTTTTTATTTGGGCTAGGTCATGGAATGACAATGCCTCCTCTTGGGTAGGGGTTAAAACAAGCTGAGCTGCTCATAAGCTAGGAATTGCTTAATTAAATAAATGACCTGGGCTCTGGCCTCACCATAATTGTCTCCAGAACTTGTGAACTTGGCTTGCTTATCTAAACAATCTTAGTTTTGAGTTCAAGTTTGGCTTGTTTATATTAAATATACTATAGAATTCACTTGCATATTAAATATATGTGATCTTGGGCTGAAATTTTGATAATTTACTTAAAGATTTGACCTGAGCTTTAGACCTGAGTTCTGCTATTTTTCTTTTTAGACCTGAGCTTTAACCAAGAAAATAGATTCGAATTGAGCTTGAGCTTTACAATATATAGCTTTCTTCAATGGGTATTCATGTTATACTTTATCATAAATGCACCATTGCAATGTAATAATTTCCTTGAAATTGTTTTGTAATTGTCTTTCATTCTCTCTGTTTCTTAAACTTGTTTAGGGTTGAAGATGCTGTTATTCGGTACCTGAATCGCAAGAGTGCTGGAAGTGATGCTTCTGGGGCTACTTGAGCAGGAATCTATTTAATTGTTAAATGGTATTATGAATTAGATCCTTGTATCTCCATTTCCTTCCCGTTGCTTTCCTGCATTGTTTATTGATTAGAGGAACATCAGTTGATACAGACAAAATATAATTAGTGACTCTTCAGCTAGAACGTTGTATCAAATTTATCTGAAGACAGGAGAGCAATGTATTTGTTTGTTGTCTAAATTTGCTTAACGTAAAATTAGTTAGGTTATGGTAATGAGACCCGTTTCATTTTTGTGGAATTTACCCCAAGCACCTTGACCAATTCATTTAGCTGTTTGATTTACTTAACCTCTTTAATATTTATTTGCCATTCTTTCATTGAGGGTTCAACAAACTGATGCTACTTTATGGACTATTGACACTAGTTAATTCACGTTCAATGTTCATATTAATGCAATGGAGGGGAATTCTTACTGACAATGAGGAATTAATAGTTTTCTGCATGTTCTATCAGCTTGATATTATTTTTCCCCCTATGCACTATGGTCATATTGCTTTTATATTAATGATCAAGTTGTACAGAATAAAGGATCAAAACCTCCTCTGACCTCTGCTGGATTATTTGCCAATTGATCACAACATTATTGTAATTGTTCTGTTCTACGTTGCCCAGTTATTTATGACATCCATCGGTGATTGTCTCCACAACATGAAGTTTATTCAATCTTTTTTCTTTTTTGGTGGTCAGGTTTTGTCAATCTTGAATTTTCTTAATCATTGTATTTTTAAGTTCATTTCACTTGTAGAAGACTTGGATGTTGTGGCTTGGTCTTGTTTTCTGCAGCAAGCAGAAGACAGCAAAGTACTTTTTTCTAACATGCTGTTTGGATTCACCATATTTGACTTTTGTCTCATCGATAAATTTCATGCTTCTCCCTTCTTCATTATCTTCCAATTTTGCATTTTAATGTTGCTGTCTCGCTGAACACGTGCACCAACTTAGCTGGTAATTTGATTGAAGTAGCCCAAGCGAATAGATTTATGTATCAAGATAAAATGTTTTAAAATTTATGATGTGTTCTTGGATTTTAAAAAACATTCATTATGTTTACGGAAAGTGAAATTTAGTTTGCTCTACACGTACAACACTCCATTTAACCATTGAGATGGGGCCGGTTCCCCTGACATATGTACACATGCTCAATGTCTAAATTTCAAGATTTGTTATAAACCCACCACTTCATTTGTTAGACCTCATGACAGGACCTGAAATGAGTTGCTTCAAGTTGGACGGATTATGTTGCGCATGAACATACCCCACAAGGCCACAAAGATTGAAGTCACAAGTAAATTATTGCATGCAAATATCTAGCAATAATGCTTAAGCAAAGTAGTACACACGTGGGTCAGCTACAAATTGCTTGCTCATATGAAGTAGCCTCGGTTATGTCGATGGTCAAAATCAAACACTTACGTTATCACGTTTACAGCACTCCAATCTCTGTTGCCTCTTTTCTTCTGCTATGCATAATTTCTGCAAGGTGGGGGCTTCACCCTCATTCCCTCTCCCCCTTTCTATTTCTCTTGCTTACTTTTTCCTCTGCGGCCCACCGAGTTAAAATATGCAAGTTGTTCCATTTTGCGAATAAGTTGTTTCTTTACCTTGTTGATATTGAAGATCATTAATCTATTGGAGAAAATTAGAATAAGATATTTTCTCATAAAGATCTCCTAGCTTTCCTTTAATTAGAATGAAAGTTAGGTTTAATTTAGTGTGTGCTAGCCGACTCAATACCGCCTAATTCTTTGAAATTGGGTCAATGATTCACAAACTTAATTCTTGTCTAATAGTTGAACATGGAAATGAGAGATTCACAAGTCATATAGAAATATAATGAAGGTAGGCATTCTTGGACTCTAGGAAGCCTTATCATCGGAGTTAGAGACCTGTATTTAGTATTAAATCATGGAATTTTGTTGTAAAAAGAGCAAGGTTAATTATTCCCATAATTGGAAAGGTAATGTGAAAATATTCTCTTACCCACATGAACAAGTCCAGTTTTATGCAGATAGCAGATTCTTCCTCTTTGTAATAACCTATGAATGATTCAATTTTCCTTTATTTATATGGATTAACAAGATCTTTGCTGAGTTAGGATCCACTGATTTTTAAAAATCTTGATTTTGATCAAAATCAAAGATTTTTTTTTTTTTTTTTTTTTTTTTTTTTTTTTTTTTTTGGATT